TCATTTTTTATCTTTCTAATTTCATTCCCCAAATTTTAAATCTTACATCTAAAACTTCTCTCTTCTAACTAATATTAAAGGATACATTCAGCAACAGATTTGATAAAAACAAAGTTTAACTGAATATCTGGAGTCAAAAGTAAGGTAACTTAAAACCCATTAAACCACATATTAATTAATTAATATTCTATAATATGCACGTAAGTTACGGCTGTACAGAAATGAAATGCAGTAAAGATATCAGCCCTTGACAGATTATGCTATCAGTTTGTTCTATAAACATCCCACTGCCACACAAAATTCCAATCACTTATAGGAATGATTAAATATTTTTTAAATTCATTTTGATTTAGAAATTGCCAACACGATTAATACAGACATTACAGGGTTCTAATGCAGTATTCACAACAGTGAAATCTAATTGTTCAAACTCCAACAACTGAATATAAGTAGAATGAGAGGATACCAATGGGTATATATTCTTCTGATAAATAATTCTGCTTATATTATTTTGAAAACAAAATACTAGTAATTATTTACGACTGCTCAAAGGTTCTGACAGAAAGAAGTACTTACTAATATTGTTGGATATATCGTTACTATATAAGGGTTATCTGCGAACATCGTCCCTAATTTTGAACTGACAGACTAGAAGGGAAGGCAGCTAGTTAATATCGCCCATTGCTAACTGTTGAGCAACTCTTTATATAAAAACATTGGAATTGACCATCACATTACAATGGGCCCTATGGCTAACCATCCCATTACAATGGTCCCCATGGCTGACCATCCCATTACAATGGCCCCCCATGACTGAAAGGGTGAACATCTACAAGAAAGGGAATTAATTATAGAAGACACTGAACAAAGTTAAAAAAGAAACATTATAATTGAAAAAAACAAACAAACAACAACACAAGATTCACCACAAATAAAGAAACAAAATGATAAATAATATATTGCACCGAGTATTTTTATGTTAGTAAATATGAGCTTTCACACAAGAGTTTGATAATTTATCGGAGAAGTAAAATACTTAAACTGAAACAATTTCAAATAAAACAATCAGTAGTAGTTTCAATAGTCTTGGGTATTTAAAAATGTAACTTGTATCAAAATTTTGTAATTGGCATTTTAGTTTTAAAAACTTGAACCAATAACCTTCTGGTTGACATTTCCTTTTATGTTTACAACCACAAAAATATATCTATTCTGTACAATTGTTTTCCAACACAATTTTCATTGTTTTTTTTTATTTGATCGTGTTAAAGTTGGGATATTTCTTACTGAAGTTAATTAGTGGAATAAAAAGCAAATCACTTTAATTACCATACCTTAAACAGTTTATTAAACAAGTCAATCAACATTTTCTCAATCAACTGAGATTAGCTACAGAACACAAGTCTCGGACAATTCCATTTATTTTAGGGGTGTCACGTTTTTATGTTGACAGTACTGAATTATTTTTACAAAAGCAAAGACTGGCTATTAATGAAATATATTTTAAAAACTTTTATTAACTTTGTTTACATAATATTTTTTAATTCAAAATAGTTTTAAGTTAAAATAACTTACCCTACTATGCCTGAAGACATTTAGAAGCTTTTACAGCTTGTGCTGTAAGGTTTGCTACAGTACTGTATTCATCATACTAGGCAAAATAAACTTTTGTAAGTTACTTAAATATAATTATACTGCACAAATGCTCCACACTATCACAATGAACAAACGCATTAAATGCCTATTAAAAGTGATTATACAGAAGAAGAAAAAATATGCTTCATTATGGTTCAGTAAGCTTGAGGGCTTATATTTTATAACATTAAACATCTGGGTTCTATAACGGTGGCAATTCAGAATGCAGATAGCCAGTTGGGTAACTTTGTGCTTGAACACAAACAGACAAAGAACAAAAAAAAATTCTTATACATTCATAATTAAAACAGCATTTTGAATGCTATTACTGTGGTGACATATTTGAAAAATTGACCAAAAAAAAAAATGTAACACTTATATGAGTCCCTGAAAATATAAGAAAAATTCTAACTACTACAATTACTAATATATATATATATATTCTAGTTGAATAACTTAAAATTAAAATATTATAATGGAATCAAAAACTAATTTCTTATAGTTCTGACTGACTTGAATAGTAGGTCTTAACAGTAGTAATATTAATTCACTCACTATAACTCAGTACACAAAATGGAAAAGAGTTAATGGTAATAGACTCTTAAGTAAATATTTTGGCAAGCCAAGCTTGCGATTGCTCATTAAACCTACACTCATAAACAGACATTTGGAAGTGGTGCTTTACACCTATACAGATCCTAACATTTTACTTCAGTAGGAAGTACTACCATTACAGATAACAAAGGCATTCTGGAACCATAGGTGCATAATTAACAGAGCATTCATAAAGACCTGATGTATCACTGAGCATTCAGCAGCTTACAGGGCATTCTGGAACCATTGGTGCATGAGTAACAGAGCATTCATAAAGACCTGAGATATAACTGAGCATTCAATAGCTTACAAGGGCATTCTGGAACCATTGGTGCATGATTAACAGAGCATTCATAAAGACCTGAGATGTCACTGAGCATTCAGTAGCTTGCAGGGCATTCTGGAACCATTGGTGCATGATTAACAGAGCATTCATAAAGACCTGAGATATCATGAGCAGTCAGCAGCTTGCAGGGAATTATTCCCATAGCTGCTCAATGGGGTTTAAAGTCTAATGAGCATACAACTCATTCCATTCAATCAATTCCCTCTTTTTCCAGAAATGTGTCATCTACTTTAGGATGGTAGGATGGACATTATCAGGCTGAAGTCATGGCTTTGCACCAGTATGTGGTAATACAAAAAACTATGGTATGTGGTCTCTATACTTAATGATATCATTCATAGAGGTCAGTACATCCATCAATACTTGATCTGGGCCACACCATACTTTGTGTCACATTTCTGTATGAAAGTGTGGTTGAAACCTACTTCCAATGAGTATGTACATTTTCTGGCTGCAGGGTTAAAAGCAGCGTATTTGTATAAAAACACTATATGTGTTCTTGGTGAGCTATTTTGTGCCTAGCTATGAGCAATCTATACTGAGTATTTAGGATACAGGCCAGCTTTGTGAATTCTGATTACTGACATGGTATTCAGTTGAAAATATATGATACATACTTTGAAATAGGTACCCTACAGTAGCAGCCACCTGTTTGTGTTGTGGGTGAACGTCTGCCTTGTTCAGAAACTGCACCATCAGTCTGAGAAAGCTGTTCCAGATTCTTATAACATAGAGTAAAATCACAAGAGCACTCCGTGATTGGCTGGCTTCTATTTGTTTTTATTTTTATATTGTTAGCTTAGAATACGGATTACAGATTAAGCTAAATCTCCTTAGCCAGCCAAACCTTTTGACATATTCATAGGATTATGGCCAAAAGTGTCACCAACAGTATGGGTGACCAATTGATGAATCAGTGTTCCAAGCATTATAACAAAGAACGATGTATTACATTAGCAATATTTATCACTGGACTAATTTTTTGTTCTGATCTTTGTAGGTAGCCTGCTTTGTTCAGAAGTTAATAATAATAATAATATAATATTTGTAAATCATGACTATCCTTTAACTGTTTTGTGCACCACATAAGAATCACACAGTTCTCTTTCAACACAGTCTGTTATCCAAGCACAATTAACTTTCTACTCTGTCTGTCTCCTGATCATCTTTGAATTCTAACTTAACTCATATTCCAACACACAAACAACTGGAAAGCCTTAACTTTACTTTGGAAATTTCTACCGCTTCGACACACACACAACAAAATCTGGCTTATCAATATATCCATCAACCAAAACATTGCACGAATGACAAAACTTTAAAAAAATGTCATTACATAAAACAGCCATCAAATATTTGTAATACAACACAAATTATGTTAAACATGCCACAAGAAACCTACCACGACATTAAAAATCTCTTTTAGAAAATGGGAACATGAATGACTCAAATTTACTGCCACTTCTAAGCAAATTATTAACAATTAACTGTTAAAGAGTAACTAAATAAATAAATAATCCTCTTATCTATGAAAATGAAGCTAGATTTTGTAAGTCATTCTTAAAACTAGGTAATATATAACTTTTAAATAGTCTTTGTCCTCTAAATGCATTCATTGATTAAAAGGTAAATGAGTTTGTAAATGTAAAATATTGATTTGAAACGTTACATGCTTATGGATACAGAACTGTGGAATTCGTATTAACCTACATCTATGATCACGAAAATGTCCAAGTAACATGTTTTACTGTTTATGTTGTTTGTTCTATTGCTAGATAAACAGTGTAGATAGACTTCTAGGGAGCCACACAAGCTCCTGAAATTTCTGAACAGAAGTCTAGCACATACACACGAACATATAAAAATGTGTAACTCTAAGCATCAAGACAAAATTCTATACACAAATACATGCATCCCCTAATTCACAAACCTTGTCAGTAACAGATATATTAATATAACATTATTTCATTATTTTTGTGTACAGTAGGAGTCCAGTAAAGTTTGACTGCTAGCTCATGGTGAAAAATGTTGTATCATGATGGAATTAAGTAAATCATGATTTTTTTCTTAGTTCATATGTGAGGTGTAAAATCCTAAAGACTGAATGTTATGAAACATTAAAATACATATATATGAACAGCTTATATGTAGAAAGCACCATTCCCAATGACATTGTTTTGATTGTATTCAGTATTAGTTAAAAGTAAAGTACTAGAAGTTATATTCTACTTTTGTGGGATGGGGAGGAGGTAAGTAGATTTTGAATAAGGATAAATTTATTTTCTCCCTTTGACTTACATTATTGAAATAAGTATGTTTTCAGATCTAACAAAAGCAGCACTGGGTATGAAAAATATTTTCACTGTTTAACAAGAGTGAGGAAAGTTTGTATATCAATTTTAAACCTTTTGATTTGGGTTACTTTTTACCTAAAAAAAAAGGGAATATACATGAAATTAATATACAAAAAGGTAATTTTTCAACTGATTTTTGAACATTATTTGTCTTTACACAAAAGGTATGACAACAGATGTTTCTGATTGGATTTTTTTGAATAATCATTAGCTGAGGAAGTTAACTTTTAAATTAAGGAAATCAAATATTACTGTGTTCTGAAAGAGATGTAAAGTTTAAGACAACACTGAAGTTAATGTGGTACAAATAGATTCTATTTCTAGATTATCATTTTAGCTACCAAAATGAAAGATTCGTACTCAAGTTGACACCCACCTTTTTGTGTATTTAATTCTTGATTTGGATGGTAAAGGACTATTTCCTGCCGTTTTCAGGTTTTCCATTGTGTCCGACATAGAACACATCCCACCCTAAAATATAAAGTGTTGGAATTCATTTTTATCATCAGTCACACGTTAAAAAAAAACAGAGCCTGAAAATGAACAAAGGATAAGAAAATAGGGTAAAGTGTTAAATAAACATTTTATTCATGAATTAATAGTGCAGAACTAAAGTATACATTTCCGTACTGGTCTAACCACATGCTAAAGTGTGATAACATTCAGTTCACAACTTTACTTGTACAGTCCTATAAATGTCAAACCTCAATATGGGAGGACACTAGGTTAAACACACCATTCAAAGTATTATTTACCTTTGCTTTCTTTTTGAAAGACCAGTTACATTAAACCACTGTATCATATACAGAATATAATTATTACAGGCTATGTACGAAGTGGTTTCATATCTAGCTTGATGAATGATAAACTCAACAGAAGCACGAAAACAAAATCCAGTGACATTTCTGTCTTCTGTAACGGCTTGTTTTTTCTTGTACACAGGGAAAATTAAACAGAGAGTAAAGTGGAAAGAAAGAAAAACACTTCAGCTAAAAAACTTTACGGCATGTTGTCAGTGCAATTCTAAGATAAGTGATACTTGTTCAACACTTTCTTGCCATACCTAAGATGTCTGGAAATGTTTAATAAAAGCAGATAACTTTGAACTACCATAAACGGGTTTATTACACGCATAAATATGTCAAAACGTAGCTTGATGGAATGTTTTTTTTGTTTTTTTAAAGGCTAAGGCATAACTAATTTCTGCATTTCAATTTTTTTTAAGTTAGGCCGTATGTAATGAAAATTTTCTTGCGAATAAAATAAGATATGAATGCCTAGCCTACTCTATTTAATGAGCTGTTTAGTATAAAAGAACAGGTTTTGGTATATAACTTGGTTTAACAGCTATATCTCCACCCGTTTTTAGCTACAATCGAAAATTAACTACAGAACTAAAAACAACAAGAATATTCCATAACGTTCTACTTTACAGCTGGGGAAATAACGCTATCAGAAAATGGGTGACCTTGGGTTGTTTGGCAATATATTACAGTTTATAATATAAAAAAAGTCCTCAAAACAACTACAATCTAATAAACACATTCACATATTTGACTCGCCATCTGTTACTGAAGAAAGGCTGATTACTGATACAACAAGTCGTATTATTTATTTATGTATTTTTAATGTTATTAATGAACAATTTAAATTATTTGTGCTACTGCACTGGATAAAATTAGAGATTACTGGGTGACATGATCTCAGAATATTAAATTATTGGCTCTGAATTTAACACACACGCATAAAGTTCGACTGATTCCACGTTCTGGACAGAGTCACAAGAAAATGACTCGAGCAAATAAGGCGGCAACCGATAACTGGTACTCTTTTATGATGGTTAAATTCGTTTCTATAAGTGATACAACTCCTAGAAGTGAAACGGATAGACAGTTACAACAATTCAGAATAAAACCGTGCAACAACTATAGAGATTCTATTATCACCCCCACCCACCCCCAACAATATAGATTTCAGTACCCATACTCACGACAATACGGGTTTCAGTACCCATACTCACGACAATACGGGTTTCAGTACCCATACTCGCGACAATACCGGGTTTCAGTACCTATATTCACGACAATACGGGTTTCAGTACCTATATTCACGACAATACGGGTTACAGTACCTATATTCACGACAATACGGGTTACAGTACCTACATTCACGACAATACGGGTTACAGTACCTACATTCACGACAATACGGGTTACAGTACCTACATTCACGACAATACGGGTTACAGTACCTACATTCACGACAAAACGGGTTACAGTACCTATATTCACGACAATATGGATTTCAGTACCTATATTCACGACAATATGGATTTCAGTACCTGTAATCACGACAATATGGATTTCAGTACCTATATTCTCGGCATCTTCTCTGTAACGGTACAAGACACAAATATCTCTATGAATATATTACACTTCTTTATATATATATATATATATTTATAGGATGGTGATTTATAACATTAACATATATTTATAGGAATGGTGATTTATAACATTTACCTAACAGGGATAAAATTCGGCTCAAATTAACCCTCTGTGTGAGGGTCAAAGTGCGCATGCCACGTGCTTTTACGAAGTGCCATTTATCATGATAGTATGCATTTGATGCAAGAGTTATTAGCAGCGTTCCCTCTAAGTGCGTGTCCGCACAAAAACCAATCAAGTGCCGCGCATATCCTCAGTAATGGTGAGGAGTCTCAACACGTTGACGGCATTAATAACCCTGCCAGTCGATAGGCCTAAAGCCCAAATAACCAACTGGTAGAATTGCAAAGCGGCTTAATGTTCCAATAGGGTCGATGGTCTAAAAATACCCCCCTAAAAAAACTGGTTTATTGTTTACATGTTACAATTTAAACTAATGTAATATTTACATTAATTCTCAGCTCTCTGCTATATGGCTGACATTAAAAATCAGATCAGTCTTAATATTTTACTATACTTTGGCATCAATAATAATCATGTCTTTTGGTAACACAACAGTAAAAAGTTCAGTATATTTAGCAATTTTTTTCCCTTCTTTATGATTGCTAACGAAAACAAATGCACGTAAAAATTCACTCAGAATCTTTCAATATTTTAACTGGAGCAGTGGACCGGCATGCCTGTTAACACTAACATGTTGTGATAGGTAAAAAATTACTGCGTTGAGAACAGCTTCAAGCGAAGAAAACATTGTTTAAAATCGCTACTTACTGTTTCACCTACCTGCACGTGCGAGTTTGTGTAAAGAAACGTCTTTAAATCAACGTTAACTTGAACATTCTTACCCTGAACACTTATCTACCACCAGATAAGTAATCTTTTGTAAAATAAACAAGTCCCTAATCTTAAACAAAAGTACAATACCTTGTATAGTTAACCATACGACGAGGGCTAGCAGGAAGTGGAGGTTTAATGTTTTCTGATTGGGGACATATATATTTAACATGTTAGTAAACCGTCTTTTTTTTGGGGGGGGGGGTTAATACGAGCTCTGCCTACCACTAAGTATGTCAAATATTTCCTTAAATTCGGTATCTTACAGAAATGTGTGTGTAATATAACAAGTAAAAATCTCATTGTGCGTAAAAAATAGTTAATTGCACTGAAAATGTTACCAAATTGAAAGATGTACTTACAATGTTCAAACATTTTAATAGTCTATTATAACTAGTTACAGGCAGACTACAAAAATAATATTGCGTGTGAGAGTGTTATCTCCCGCACAGTAAGAAAGCCTAGAGGGGGCCATCTCTCCACCTCATTGGCTTAACACCTGAGTTGTATCTTACATGATTACACAACGTGTATCGCCACTGTCGTCTGAATCTTGGTGGCCTCGTCAACGCCGAGTTTCTACAAACGTTTAACGATCCTATTATTATGCATGGGTTTTCGAACACATCAAAAACTTGCCCTGTCAGTTAGTGAACCTCCGCAAGATTGTGAAAACGATAAAATAACAGGTTCGACCGGCTCTCTCTATGGTGTGGACTTCTACCGAGAATACTTAATCAGAAAATGACCTTCTGAGGCAACTTTTTTTTTAAATCTTAAACACGAAATAAATGACTGACATGTTTAAGATTTCGTATCTAACTACTACTTATAGTCTTACATTCTGGTTTTTCTCCCGACTGATCGTAGTTCTTTAAAAATTGTTTTGATTTTCGCGCAAAGCTACTCGGGGGATACCTACGCTACCATCCATAATTTAGCAATGACAGACGAGATGTAGGACAGCTAGTCAACAACACCCACGAACGAATAGTACGATTGACTGTCAGTTTATAACGCTCCCAAGGCAAAAAGGGCGAGCATGATTGGTGACGGGGGTTCGAACCCGAGACCCCCAGATTGCGAGTCCAGCGCCTTAACCACCAGGCCATCCTTTTATAAATAGGTGCATAAAATGAACTGTTTATAAAGCAAAAGGAATTTACGAAAAACAATATGCATAAAGTAATACTTGTCATTCAAACTTTATTTTTATTACAAATATCATTTTATTAGTGTTAGGGTTAAATCTCGCTACTTGAGCTATCGGCTTCAAACCATTTAAGATAACTTATAAGCCTTTAGAACTGGAAACGCATGCCTCACTTTGTTAGCAAATGTTTCCAGAACTATATATATACAGTAGTTGCTCACTTACTTAACAATCCCAACTGGACCGCCGTGTGGGCGTTATAATGTCACAACCAATCCCACTATTCCACAAGAGTTGGAGGGACGGCTAGCTCAGATAGCGCTTGTTTGGCTTTACGCGAACTTCGAAACAAACCCAACCCAATTGGAATGATAAAATGGAACTTCGGACTACATGCAACTCACTCAAAAAGTTAACCACCATGTTAGAAATATACAAGTGACCTAACTGGAGGCTAACCTGTCTCTTACAGTTTTTAAACTTGTAGAAAAATACAAGTGACCTAACTGGAGGCTAACCTGTCTCTTACAGTTTTTAAACTTGTAGAAAAATACAAGTGACCTAACTGGAAACTAACCTGTCTCTTACAGTTTTTAAACTTGTATAAAAATACAAGTGACCTAACTGGAAACTAACCTGTCTCTTACAGTTTTTAAACTTGTAGAAAAATACAAGTGACCTAACTGGAGGCTAACCTGTCTCTTACAGTTTTTAAACTTGTAGAGAAATACAAGTGACCTAACTGAAGGCTAACCTGTCTCTTACAGTTTTTAAACTCGTAGAAAAATACAAGTGACCTAACTGGAAACTAACCTGTCTCTTACAGTTTTTAAACTTGTGTCCTTTCGCCCTATTGTCTTCAGAAAACAAGATAGCGAAATTAGAAGACTCTCTCTTACCGATCAAAGTGGTGAATTAGCCACCGAGGCAATGCTTTTTTATAGTAATAAACTAATAAAATACTATCCGTACAGATCACTAGTTAGGCTTCACTTGGAATACTGTTACAATTCTGGTCTACATTGATTTATTATAAA